ATACATTGAGTTAAACTTTGTAAGACACATTTTGTTTGGAAAGGCAATATTCGTGGGTGCGTGTATGATCATGAATAATGCTCTGATTCACACCTGAGAAGATAATGACCCGCATAATGAGCCTTTCATTCAGGTGTGTCACTGGGTACCACAAGAAAGAATGTGAGGACTTATTTTGTATGCATGCAAATTGTATAATATCCAAGGTAAACATTTCTAGTAACTATGCAGGTAATTCTCATACTGTATTTTCAGAAAGTTTTGGAATATATCCTCTCCCCAAATGTGTCACTAATAAAAAACAATAATAAATATTTTAATGAGAAGGCTTATATTGACCTATTAAGATGTTGCTTACATCTACCTTGTTACTATATTTTTTGCTATTTTATTAAGTTTTCACATGTTTCACAACAACAATTAAAATTTTAACAATATTTCAAGTGTAATCTTTCTTTGTAAAAAGTATACATTTTATCATCCGTATTTCAAAGTTAAGGATTCATTAGTTTGAACATTGGAACAAACACTATAACAACATCTTAGTTGATACTTCAATATACTTTATTTTTGACAAAACATCCCATACTATATATTTAACATATGAGCAGAAATTGGCGTGATGTGACAGTAGTCTTTTTTACAGTAACATTTTTTATAATCTATCCAAAACTAATCAACGAAATCTTGTCTAAACATTCATATTTCGTCTGTAACATATCGTTTTTATGATATATTAGCATATAGATGTTAATTTGCAGTTTAATATGTTGCTTATACGGCACAGATGCAAGCTGTTCTGTTTTAAACAACCACACACATCTGTGCAGTTCATTCATTCACACACAGACACACGATTCATATTTAAACAGTCTTTTTGCGGTTTACAGACACTTTTTCATATCGCGATTAGAACAAAGCACTTAAGAATAAAGAACTTACTATTCCACCTCAGCTGGATCCGTTGCTCCTCGAAATGGAACTAAACCGGCACTTCTGAGGTAAATTTTCCAGGATTATTATTACGATAGTATTATTCCTCACAGCGCCGTAAAGTACATGACTCTGATTAAACTTGATGTGTTTTATCGAGTTGATGTGGGCGTTGAGACGTTTGCATCTTGCCTCCGATTATTTGCGTTTGAATAGCGTGCACTCTCCGTGGGCGTGGTCACATTAGCACTTAATGAGCTGAAATGAGAACGACTGGCATCTCTCTCTTTTCATACAGATTACATAAACTGAGAATATTTGTTTTTTTTAGGGCTGTCAAATGATTAATCATGATTAATCACATCCAAAATAAAAGTTTTTTTTACATAATATATGTGGGTGCACTGTGTATAATTATTTTATATATATAAATACAGACACATGCTTGTATATATTTAAGAAATATTTTCATGTATATACTGTATATAGATTTATATTATATATAAATATAAATATTTTATATATAAATAATATTTTTTTCTTAAATATACATGCATGTGTGTGTATTTATATATATACAAAATAATTATACAGTGCACCCACATATATTATGTAAAAAAAACTTTTATTTTGGATGTGATTAATCATGATTAATCATTTGACAGCCCTAGTTTTTTTATATAAATTACTTCATTTAAAAGAAGAGAATTCAAGCTTTATGCCTGAGTGACTGAGTTACAGTTCATTTTCGGATGCGTTTCAGAATGGACTTCACATTGAGAGAGATGGCAGAATGCGCATCATGTTTATTTTTCTTTATTTGGCAAAAAGCACAACACTTTGTTTTTATTGTGAGTATACACAAAAAAAAATAGACACTTAACAGGATCGAACGTTGTATAACACTTATATGTTAGATCAAAATCAACAGATTATTTTGAGTCTCTTTTGCACTGATAAGAAAAAAAGCGCCGACCCCAGGGGGTTAAGATCACAGATCCGCAATTATTACAAATGACTAGAGGTCACCAGGTAATACTTATACCGTGCGAATAGGGCTTAAGTCATCTGGATGCACTCTGAACTGTTTGCAATTATTAAATAATCCGTAGAGTCAAATTATGCTTTGTTTGCATGTTTGTGCATATTATACAGCTTTGTTAGGCTGACATTCCCGCAGCATGGCTTAGTGGGCATTGGTTCCCCATAGCGGCGCTGCGTCTCATTTCCCTTCTAAGGTAACCAGGCTTACATACGTAACCTAGACATTCCCTTTGAAATGAAACTTCGCCGCCGAGTCTTGTTGCCATGCCTAGGGCTTCCCTGCATGTCTCCTTCAGACGAAAGAGTTGATGACGTGTATTACAGGTGCCCTTTTACACCTACGGGCGCCCAGCTTGTCATGAAACCGGTGTCTGAAGCCAATTTGTTGGCTGACGACAGTCCGTCACACGGATGGCGTTCCCCATAGCGACAATATCAGACGCAGCGTTTTGTTCCATGGTTTGCACTACGTAATGCAGACATTTTATCAAGTCATACGTCATTAATAGTGGTTTACTTCCTCGATTTAGTAAGATTGTTCATTTCATCAGTGAAGCGTACCAGAGTTCACAAGAAGACCCCAGACCACCCTTTAAGGCAGACCCTGATACGGTTCGCAGGTACACACCTGATTTCGGAAAACTGCGTTCACATCATCCAAATAAACCAAACTCTGACAGTGAAAGCACCCCCAGAGAAACCAAGGAAATAGATGTGAGAATATTTTTCAGTGATGCAGAACTTAATGACTTATTGTCTTAATGCAATATTAGTTTTTTAGGTTTAGCCATTTTGTTTTCACATTTGTCATAAGGTGAGCTATTATATAGAAAACAAACCTTTAGACCTTTTGAATGCAGAACCATGATGAGGGTTTTGTTGTCAGACCCATTGTATCTATTCACAAGGGAACAGAAATACTATAGCGAATCCAGAAGTGGAATTTGTTCTTTTTTGTGGAATGTTTTCAGGCGGGTTTTCCAACACATTCTCATCCTTTGGCGTCATATAGGTGACGCCATATGACATTTCGTCGAAATCTTACGCACATGGCATCCTTTAGCGTCAATATAACACACACTGTTATGGGTAGGTTTAGGTCTGGGGTAGGGTTACGGTTATGACGCCTTGGGATCTGGGATCTCATATTGACGCTAAAGGATGCCATGTGCGTCGGATTTAGACGAGCGTCACCTGTATTACGCCTTGGGTTCTGCGTCTCATATTGATGCTAAAGGATGCCATGTGCGTAAGATTTCGACGAAATGTCAAAAGCGTCACATGTATGACGCCTTGGTATGAGAACGGGCTGGGGTTTTCTCAGACATACTGATTATTTTGTCAATGTGGATCAAACCATTTCAAATATGTAAAGATTTTCTTCAGATTCAAATTTAACCCCAATTTAACCATTATTATTGGGCAGCAAATACACCCAAAAGTATTTTATTGGCTTAAGACTTGAAAGGATAAGTAGAGTAAATCCAAGGCAAATTCTTGTTGTCCATCATCCCTTTCTGCCTTTGTTTAATCCAAAATACAATTATCATTTTCAGAATATACCTGATTTTTAGTATTCAATTTTAGTTTAGAGATTGTTTTGATTATTTTGCATGTAGTCGTTTATGCAACAATCATCAGTATGTTAGATCAGTTAACAATCATCATCACTTCCAGCTCAATTAGATCCAGACTGAACGGTTTAGGGGTGCATTTCAGTAGAACTTGCTACTTAAAGGTGCACAATGCCGAAATTTTCAGTTAATGTTTGTAAACATAAAATTCAAACTTGGCCCCTCCTGGGGCAATTAATCGCAATTAAAAACACTTACGTTTTTATAGATTTTATAATGTAATAATTTCACAGTTAATCTCCACATTAATATAGAAACAACACAAAGACAGAATATTTTAAATACTTGTTTAATGACATCTTTTTATGAATGAAGGCCAGTATCACTGATTTTAATACCTGCTACTGATGTCTTGATGAATTGATTTCCCCCCCAATTTTAAACATTAATTATAGCCATTCAACATTAGTGTAATTGAAAGCTATCCATTTATTTTATTTTTTTTACATTTATTAGGCTTCAAAAATATATATATTTTTTAATTTAAGTGAACTTATGACATTTATTATGGGTTTATGTAAGGATTGTTTTATTTACTTGTGCCCTTCCTACCTGTCTAACATATATACAGAATTTGAATAAAGTTATCAAACAGTCTGCGCTGCATACATTATAAATTAAATATAGATTAATCCTTATTAAAAGCTTTGGTCAAGAGCAGCGAGTAATTTTCTCTGTTACCTTTGTTCTTTGATTAAAGGTAATGACAGACAGCATTAGTCAAGCCAAGTCACCTTCATTTATATTGCGCTTTTCAACAATATAGATTGTTTCAAAGCAGCTTTACAGTGATAATAGGAAATTAATGTAACAGATTGTTTTGGCTTTACAGCAGCTCTAGAATAAAGTTATTGTCCAGCTAAAGTTAGTTTTGATTGATTCACTTCCGTTCCAAAGATCCTTAGTTATTAACTTAAGGGGCCGCTTACAAGACACCGTTCTAACAGCCCGCTCATTTGCACAACAACAGTGCCTGGTGGCTCGAGAACGCAAACCTTGAAATAGGTTCCAAGGTGCAAGTGTTGAATTTTTTTTGAAAAAACGTTATCTCCGCGTAAGCTTAAAAAACACGAATCTGTGAAAACGCTGACAGAATTTTTTGTCACTTCCGCGTATCCATGTGAACGGGAATCATTTTGACAACGTTTTATCTGTACAGAGGTAAAGGGAAGGGAAAGGAAGGGAAGGGAAGGGAAGGAGGCCTTCACAGGACTAGTTGACACTTCAGGACTGCATTGTCGTCGTGGTCGACTGCATAGTTTTTTTTTCTGATCGCGTCATTTTTCTTTGATTAACATTAATTACAGACAGCATTAGTGACAGCAATAGTCGAAGAACTTTAACTGATATTTAACTAAATGTTGTTGTATATTCTGTCACTTCCTGTAGGGAATATTCTCCAGGTCCAACTTCAGGTTGTCAAAGTGTTTTTTGCCAGAGGAGAGGAGCGTGTTAGCGCTTTACTGCATCAGCTGTCTGATCATTGCAATGATAACACTCATCCATCTAAAGATGTTCAGAAGATCACTGCACTTGACAAATAGCTTTCTAGCAAAGTACAAGACTTTGTAACATGCACAAGACAGTTTTGTGGCACTGCAACATCTGTGAACATGAACTGTTCTTCTGATACAATTCAATGTTGAGTATCAATGAGTTTCCTGGTTTGGATGTGCTCAGTGTCTTTTTTTTTCTAATTTAAAATGTAAAATAATTTTTTTGATGCACAATTAAAACTGTGAAGTAGTATTTTTTGTTGTTGTTGTTTCTACTTTGCATTGGTCCACACTGAAGTCACACTGTCAAAACTCTTCATAGTCAGCTAAACAGAAGTCTATGTGGACAACACTGGTAAATATATCATGTTCACACAAAAATGCATTCAATGTCCACATCTCCAAAAATCCATGAACACTTTTGTCATTCATACTCCACCACCTGTAAAATACTTTTAGCATTTGAAAAATGTGGTGCAAATGTATAGACTCCTTTCCAAACTATTAAAAATACATTAAAGAATTCTGTATAAAAAAAATAACATGTGCATTTCAACAGTTATATTGAAATGTATAGCAGAACATTTACAATATGATGGCTAATTGTAATTTCAGCGAAAAGACTACACAGGTGTCAGATTTGTGTTTTTTTTTTTTTTTTACTTTTTTTTTTTTTTTACAGCAAGAGAGTGGACCAGAACCCTGAATTGTTATACTATACATTTAAAAAAATATTTTCAGCCCTGGTTTCAGGACTTTTGTTGTTGTTTGTACTATATGCAAAAAACAAATTCCAGAATTTATGTGAAAAATCATTTAATAAACTTTAAAAGTTAATGTAATGCTCTGTTGTTAATGGTGCTGTTTTTTTATGTGAGTGTGTTATTTGTCGAACAAGCTGTGGTGGTTTGAGCAAGTTTTGGAAGTAAGATTAAATGCAGACTGTATGAAGAGCTTTGAAACAATGGCTTCAGTATTAGATGATTAGCAACTGGAAAAGAAAATACAGATTTTAGGAAAAAACATCCAACTTTTCAAGTGGCGATCATCACACATTACTCAATTCAAAGGTAAACTCGGATTTCTTTTAGAGGTATTTTATTTGCAAAATTACATTTCTTCCCACATCTCCATTTTAAACAAAGACCAAGGTCTTCTAATGTGCCTCGTTATTAAAATAATCGTTAAGAAATGAAAAAGAATAGTTTTTATTTTTATTTTTAATTTTTCTTTATTGTCACTATAATTTAAATTTCTGAAATAAATTTGAACATGTAAAAGCTGCAGAGTAGAGTAAAGAGAATAAAGCCTATCTACCAGTGTTACAGCCATTCACAGCCTAAAGTTACGCCACACACTGTCCCTGCACTTCACCAGTTGAGAATTGAACCGCAAGAGTACAGTCAAGGATCCAAATTAACAATTTATGGGGCATTTTGCATGGACTCGAGTGCTTATAGTGTTTTAAATATGAGTAATCTAGGCAGTCACTCGTGTTTAATATATTAGTAATATTTTTCATTAAAATGAAAATTGAATCTGCATGCTGTTTATTTATCTTTTGAATACACATTGTATTTTTGGTGATTTGTCATGCAGTTATTTCTGTACATTTGATGTACATTTGATATACAAATGATGAAAAATATAAAAATTTTGGGGTGCACTATTACTTTGACTTATGATAACTGTCCCACTGGTGAGTGAGAGAGACCGTATGGGCCCACTCAAGCTGTGAGGTTTACACTATCAGTGCTCACATTCACAATGCCAGCGCAGTCAGCATGCGCTCAGGACGGCCAGTAAGGAATCGCTAGTCTTACTTCCTCATTCCTTCTATATTATGTTTGTATATGCATAGCTATGCATACAACCTCGCTAAACATTCATAAATATGTATACATATAGGCACACATATTATTATGAATAATTGTACATATATATTTATAGAATATATGTTTTCACGTTTTTATAAATGTATATGTACACATAGGGTGCAGATGTACAGTACAATGTGGTATAGTATCTGCATGTGTATGCGCACACGCATGCAATCACACATATCTACACGCTTTCACCGGCACGACCCTGCGTACAGTCTGCAATACGCGGCTTCTAAAAATGTGCCCTTCCTGAAACCGGACAAAATTTTGGAAATTTTGAAAAGATTTCCAATGTTTTAAAGCTGAGTCCGTTTGACGAAAACAGAAATTCAAAGAAAGAATTTTAAGACATATTGTATTTGCAGTTTCTGAACAAAGTGGTTAATTTTGCATATTGTATACAATATTTTTTGCCTAATTTTTCTTCATTTTATAGTAAAAGACATTAAGTAGTTTTATAAACCAGAAAAAAAACTCAGTCTACAGAGAGATTTCCCATCAGCACGCTGTGCTGCATGTAATATTTGACATCAAGCTGTACAGCGCTGTCCATCACACATACTTCATCCTCATTTACAGGTACAGCCATACTCAAAGGCACAAAGAGCTTCTACAAGTCAAAGTTGTCTTTCTTGTTGAAGTTATACAAAATAACATTTTGAAGTCCTGTACAAGATTGAGTGACCTTGCACATTTTTTAGGATTAACAAAACAAACCCCTTGAAAATATATTGTTTTTCTGTTTATCTATATTTAAGACTACCTCCAAAATGGGGGCTGCCCATAGTAAAGGAGGCATCGGTTGGCCAGTGGCGGATCTCCCAAGATGGACGCTTGCTGCCGCAAAAAATGCAAATCCCACAGGCCCCTGCTCCTACACTACGCTCTGTGCTCTGTAATTGGTTACAAACTCCTATCTAGCCCTGAAGTCCTTTCTGCACGCTTTGCAGAAAAAAAAGCAACAAAAAAAGGCAATTAAAAATGAAACTAGACTAAAAAAAATGGTAAAAAAGGATAAATATAGAGGTGCTACATTGTGAATTTTGCCTCCTGCAAAATTAAACCCTTCATGTACCCCTTCACTCCTATGTCAAGTACTCCAATATCCCCTTCATTAGGTGGAGGGGAAAGGTCAAACCACCCTGACACAGGTCACAGGTTACCACAGGTTTTCATTACATCAGCTGGTTTAATCACATCTAATCTAACCTCATCTAAAGCCAGCCAATGCTGAAAAACAAAACAAAATATAAAGAAAGGAATGACCTGGGAGTGACACAAACACAAAATAGTACTAATTTCATCTTATACACACACATTCATATCATTCTTCCCCCTCTCACTTCAGATCTCATATATAGACTAAAATAAATAAAAAAAGGAAAGCAAACAAGTGAAAAGCAGAAAAAGGAAAAAACATTACAACATTGTCACTCTTCAGTAGTTCAGCCCATGTGATGTGGGACTGGAGAAGTGTTGATTGGAGGAACAACCGATCCAGGCAGCTAATCACAAGAGTTCATACTGGCGGAGATGCATCCTCTGAATAATGTCACGACAGTCATTGAATACACGACGGATGTTTTCCGTGTCCACGGCACAGGTAAAGTGAGGATAGCAGTAGTGTTTGTCTGTGCCACTCGCTGTGCTGATTTTCTGTGGGTTCATGCAAACACACGTCATGTCAGGCAACAACTGATGTGTATGAGCTGTAGTACACTTTTTAACTTTATTGTTTAAAAGTTTACTACAGCTCATACATATCTGTTATACCAACATTGATAGTGACTTAACATTATAGATAGTGACAATAAGGAAAACATAAACACATAATTATTCATACCAAAAATTCATCTCGGATAAAAAACTTTGCCCTGGACACTTTCGGATCTTCTCCTGGGTCAGGTGTCGCTGTGCACATAAAGAAAACAGATTATTGTTTAATGCATGCAAATCCATCGGAACAATTTGAAAAATCTCAGTCATAGGTGAGTTTCAAAGGGTTCATACACTTTTTCCAAAGTCAAATGAAAGCACTTTTCAACCATTTTCAAGGTGCATTTTCAAGCTTTTCCAGCACCACACAGCTGTTGTAAATTGCATATTTACATAGACAAGTCAAATCAAGTCACCTTCATTTATATAGCGCTTTTTACAATACAGATTGTTTCAAAGCAGCTTTACAGTGATAATAGGAAATGAATGGAACAAAGATTGTTTTGGCTGTAGAGCAGCTCTAGAAGAAAGTCATATTCCAGTTTAAGTACGTTTTTGATTGATTCATTTCTGTTGCAAAAATCATTAGTTATTAACTATGCTTATACGACACCGCCCTCAAACGAAAACTTTTAATGTGTTCTGGCCATTAATTTACATGACAACGGTGTTTGTTGCCTGAGAATGGAAACTTTGAAATAGGTTTTGAAAACGATACTGTTATCATCTCCGTGCAAACCTCAAAAACGTGAATCCGCAAAAAATGGTGACGGCATATGGACATGCGTACTACGAGTTTAGTCTATAGGTATGCGCGTTTGAATACGTATGTGCGCGGGCACGTAGTCTTTCTTTGCAAAGTGACATTGCGAAATTACAAGTTTACGTGGATCCATGTGAACGGGAATCACCCTGACAATGTTTTTATCTGTACAGATGGAAAGGGCAGGGGGAGGCCGAGGAGGCCTCCAGAGGGGATAGTCTAGTTGATACAGTCTCTGCTGACACTTCAGAGCTGCGTTGTGGTCGTGTCTAGGCGCAGATCCTTCATCTGATCTGGATCCGGCAGACTACGGTAAACCTCGCGATAAACAGAGAGACTAATATTAGCATAGATGCCTTTTTTCTAATGATGTAACTAATACATCAGGTGTTATGGGAAGTGTTCTTGGTTCCGGCTGACCAAATTTATGCAGCCTAACAATCATTTTAAATTATTTGAATTATAGAAATTATGGATGTGACGAGATAAAAAATTTGACGAGATTTCTCGTCACGGGAAAAGGTTTCTCGCGATATCGCATGATAGAGTGTGAGGGTGAAATTAGCATAGAATATGCCACAGCTACGATTACATTACGGTGCCCACCGCGGCACCACCTCCACTGTCGTTTTGCTTTCTTTACAGAAATAAAAGCCATTTAATTTAGTTAGATAATGGTAACTTCAATTAAACGTCTGGTCTGCTCATCCAGCACGAGTTGCAGAGTCGCACACAGTGCAGCAGGAATCACGATCACGTGCGCGATCACGAATTTGAAAGTGAAAGTAAAACGCCAGCTCCCTGATGCAAATAGGCTACATACAATAGCCTGTCTCCGAATATAAAACCCATCTTAGGCTTGGCTGTGTAGTTGTGACCACATCTTAGTTTTGGTCTCTGTTTGTACTTTGATTATTGAGAGAGTACTTTGATTATGGTTGCACTTATTGTTTGCACTTAATAAGACTAAGAAAAAACATTATTTATTTTTGTCATTTATACTTTTTATTTCTATGTTCAATTTGTGAAAACGAGTTCAATAAGGAGATCACACACAGCCTCAATCAGAAGTTCTGGAAGCTCATAATTAATGTACAGTAAGGTCTGAAGAGACTCATATGAAATCATACAGGAGAGAAGCTAGTCAGTTGAGTTTGTGGCAAAACCGTGCTTGTGCTTGTATATTGTTGTCTTTCAATGTATATGATAATTCATACTGAAACTGAACTGACATTCATTACAAGATGATTAGTTAAAACATTTCAAAATGCACCTGCAGACATGAATTTTGTCATTGAGGATTTCTTAAAAAAATCAGTGCAAAAATCTTGTCTCGTTCTCATGAACCCAATCTTGTGTCTCGTCTCGTGAGCTAACTGTCTTGTCACACCGCTAATAGAAATTGATAATGTGTTATGCCAGGATAAAAAGATGTGTTTTTAGTCCAGATTTAAACTGACAGAGTGTGTCTGCTTCTAGGAAGACTGTTCCAGAGTTTAGGTGCTAAATAGGAAAATGATCTACTGCCAGTAGTCGATTTTGATATGGACGTTAAGGACTATAATGCATTAAGAGCTCAACCATTTAGGGCTTTGTAAGTAATTAGCAAGATTTTAAAATTTATACAATGTTTAACAGGGAGCCAATGCAGTGACAGAACTGGGCTAGGTCATAATTCCTGGTTCTAGTAAGGACTCTAGCTGCTACGTTTTTGGACCAGCTGGAGTTTGTTTATTAAGCGTGCAGGGCAACTACCCAGTAGAGCATTACAATAATATAGCCTTGAGGTCACGAACAAATTAACTAACTGTTCCACAATTGTCATTGAGAGCATATGTCGTAATTTAGATATAATTTTAAGATGGAAGAATGTGGTTTTACAGATGCTAGAAATGAGGCTTTCAAATGAAAGATTGGTATCAAAGAGCACACCCAGGTTCCTAACTGACGACAAAGACTTGTCAGAACATCCATCAAGTGTTAGACACTATTCTAGGTTATTACGTGCAGAGTTTTTTGGTCCAATAATTAGAATCTCTGTTTTTTCAGAATTAATTACTAGTCATCCAATTTTGCATTCCGTTAATTTTGTGAATTGATAAGTTTCATCGGGGCACAAAGAAATATAGAGCTGAGTATCATCAGCGTAACAGTGAAAGCTAACATACACACGTCATCACATTTAATCAAATGTTGCATATGCAGAAAATATTTTTTTTTTAGATAGACTTCTACAATAAATGATGTTTTATTGACAAGGTTCGGGAGGAGCAGGTGCAGATGATTAACCCAATCAGCACAGGTGGAGATCAATCTGTAATCAACTCAGGACAAGATAAATAACAGCATAACCCTCCTTTGATTCCTTGACAGTTTATCAGCATTTGGCCCCGCAGTAGCCTACCTTCCTAACATGTCCGAATCGCGCTCTTCCCGTTCGATTAAGAATCTTCGATTCGATGATTCGATGAAATCATTCATTAACGCGATGCTTCCTTGCGGCGTAAACTCACACGTAAACAGTAGGTCGCACATTACGTGCAGATTGCACACAGAATCATTAAGAACCTTTCGTTAACACTGTCCTGGAATTTATTTACAAAATTGCTTCGAAACTTAAAGTTATAGCATAAATGTATTTTTATTTTAGAAGTAAGTAATTTAAGCCCACAGCTTCACTGTTGGTTTTTCTGATTCAGAACGAACAAATCGGCAGGGAATGTGACCCATAGAAATGATGAAAATAAACTAAATAAACGGAAAAAATGGAAATGATGAAAATAAACTAAATAAACTGAGAAAATAAGACCATTTTCAAACGTTTAATAATCGATCTCTCAGCCCCGCACAGTTTCTGCTGAGCTCGGGATTCCAATTGCACAAGTTAAAACCATGGATTCAGCCTCGTCCATTTGAATTCTGGGCATTAACTTGGATACAGTTGATTTCCACTGTTCTAAACGCGAACTGCTATCTTTGCTCGGCCACTTAAACTTCAGATGCGCATAATCCTGCAAGGATTTAATCTCTCACCTCCTCTTCCTCGAGTCTTTGATTAACACGCAAGAAGACGAGCATCGGCCCGGCCCGCCAGGCCCCAATCTACTCCTCCCTTCGCTATGCCTCACACCACAGGAACTCAATTTGCCCAGGTAAGTTTCTCCACTGCCGCAGCAGTGATGTCTCCTCTGCTCACGCAGGAGCTCTGTTTCTCTGGCTATTTTCTCCACTGCCGCAGCAGTGATGTCTCCTCTGCTCCAGCAGGACCTCTGTTTCTCTGGCTAATTTTCTCCACTGCCGCAGCAGTGATGTCTTCTCTGCTCCCGCAGGAGCTCTGTTTCTCTGGCTAATCTTCTACACAGCCGCAGCAGTGATGTCTCCTCTGCTCCAGCAGGAGCTCTGTTTCTCTGGCTAATTTTCTCCACTGCCACAACAGTGATGTTTCCTCTGCTCCCGCAGGAGCTCTTTTTCTCTGGCTAATCTTCTACACCGCCGCAGCAGTGATGTCTTCTCTGCTCCCGCAGGAGCTCTGTTTCTCTGGCTATTTTCTCCACTGCCGCAGCAGTGATGTATCCTCTGCTCCCGCAGGAGCTCTGTTTCTCTGGCTAATTTTCTCCACTGCCACAGCAGTGATGTTTCCTCTGCTCCCGCAGGAGCTCTTTTTCTCTGGCTAATCTTCTACACAGCCGCAGCAGTGATGTCTTCTCTGCTCCCGCAGGAGCTCTGTTTCTCTGGCTATTTTCTCCACTGCCGCAGCAGTGATGTCTCCTCTGCTCCAGCAGGAGCTCTGTTTCTCTGGCTATTTTCTCCACTGTCGCAGCAGTGATGTCTCCTCTGCTCCAGCAGGACCTCTGTTTCTCTGGCTAATTTTCTCCACTGCCGCAGCAGTGATGTCTCCTCTGCTCCCGCAGGAGCTCTGTTTCTCTGGCTAATCTTCTACACAGCCGCAGCAGTGATGTCTCCTCTGCTCCAGCAGGAGCTCTGTTTCTCTGGCTATTTTCTCCACTGCCGCAGCAGTGATGTATCCTCTGCTCCAGCAGGAGCTCTGTTTCTCTGGATAATTTTGTACACTGCCACAGCAGTGATGTCTCCTCTGCTCCCGCAGGAGCTCTGTTTCTCTGGCTAATTTTCTACACTGCCGCAGCAGTGATGTCTTCTCTGCTCCCGCAGGAGCTCTGTTTCTCTGGCTATTTTCTCCACTGTCGCAGCAGTGATGTCTCCTCTGCTCCCGCAGGAGCTCTGTTTCTCTGGCTAATTTTCTCCACTGTCACAGCAGTGATGTCTCCTCTGCTCCTGCAGGAGCTCAATTTCTCCAGGTAAGTTTCTCCACTGCTGCAGCAGTGATGTCTTCTCTCCAGTTCCTCACTATTCAGAATTAATATTCCTGTTAAAACCCCTAATTGATGATTTTCTCAGTCCAGCGAGCATTGGT